TTTGAAAACTGTGTATGTTTCCACGTGTTCTACGACCGCTCCGGCGCTTTAAGCTTTTATATACGATCTTTCTGCCTTTTTGCTCAGATTTGCTCACGGTCGCTCTTAAGGCTCTGTCAAACAGAAAGCGTTATCTTCACGTCGCGTGATTTTGTAATTTGTTACAACGCGGCGTTATTCACGCGCGTGAAAGCACCACGCCGACGAGCCATTTACCGCTTTAACACGCGTTATAACGCGTTCTGTTTAACAGAGCCTTTACCGATTGCAAAAGGCCTAGGGTCACCTGTTCGTGAACGCTCAACTAGGAAATACGAATCTCGGGACGTGCAGCTCGGTAGTCCAACGTCAAGTCAATCATCATCTCAAGCCATCTTCGTCGTCAAGTCCAACGGTGTTCCCCGTCCCCCATATATTAGCTGATTATAATATACTCGTTATAAAATAATCACAATTGTGTATTGCTTAAAACATTCCTTCTCACAAGGGTTCTGAAGACCGAGCGTCTGACAACATCCCTCATACGGACTTGTCAACGCAACATTTGGTAGCAGAGCGTGGTTGGTTGTTCCATCAACAGTGGTACTCAGGATTTAAGTGAGTAGTGCATTTTGTTTATAGCTGTGGCATTTGAGTATAAGGTCTTTACATTTATTTATCCATATCTCCTTTTCCTATCTACTATTATTAGCAATTAAATAATATTTAAGTTACTGTAGGTAGTAGTGTTGTTTTTTTTTACTATTATATTATATTTGTGATTATGGGGTCTCAATATTGATATATTCAGTATAGGTGTTATTTATTAAAGAACAATACAAATTTAACTCAACKACTGCTCAGTCATTGTTATATTATWAATATATTAATTTAGGTTTTTTATATTAGTGTTGAGTTACAATTACTTTAACTGTGCTCAAGTGGTTAATTACTTATTGTCATTTCTTTGATTAAATTTACTTTGAATATTATAATTTACTTAACAGTATCTCATTGTACGGTGCTCCCTGGGTTAAAATTGTTAATTGATTTTTAATTGGTGTATTAGCTTTAGGCTTTGCTCACTAGCTGCTGGTCTAGTTAGCACTTATCTGGTGTATTACATTTTAGTTAAGCTACTGCCTTTTATTTTATTATTATACCATAATTCATTGGGTAAACAGTAATATATTCAGTGTTCACTGTATAAGCTTTATATTTATAAAACTGTTAAGCATAAACCAAGGTGTGCGTCGTGGGCCGTGCCAGTGATCAGGTACTGTATTGTCACTTTATTTATATTATTTTAAGAGTTGTTATTTTATATTCACTTTATGTTGATCAACTGAAGGTTATAAWTGATACAGCTGGTTATTTAACCGGATCATTGTTGTAATTAATTTSAGATTTATATTTTGGGTATTGCATTGTCCGGTTACACCTGGGTATTATTTAATATTATCATAGTAGGTGCTCTCCTATTATTTAAKTGTTAACCATATTGAGGGTAGGCTGTTGCTCAGCTGGCCTCTTGTCTGTTTAGATTTTTACTTTTGGGTTTATTTGTTGATCTGAACACAATCTATTTGTCGCAGTCCCTTGGCTTAGCATCGTACAGCTATTATAACTATTTGATTGTCAGTTTATTATTGTTTCATTATCTGAACCAGCTCTGGTTGATATCGTTAAGTCTTATTGACTTCTAACAAGTAATATATTCCTGCTCTGGTTTATTTTTGTTGATTATCTATTAGTATAGTTGATATAATGGCTATTAATGAACGTGATGCTCGTGCAAAGGAGCGAATGATCCTTCGTAGAGATMCAGTTATCGCTCTGATAAAGCAGATACATGCATTGGCTACTAGTTCAGCCACCGATCAAGCTAGTCGTACTCAACTAGCAATTGCTATTGCTGACATTGATAATTTGTGGTCCAATTTT